GAACAATCTTCGCTCGAATTTTCTTGAAGCTAAAATTAGAGTACAGTGGACCTCCGATTATCCGCCCTCTGTCTAATCTGGCGCCCCCTGTAATCCGACATGTCTTTGAATATGCATTCCATACATACGTATTTGACAATCTTCGCTAATGTAGATCACGCAGGTTTGAACAGGTTACTACTTGTACGCGTCACCACTGTCGTGCTCGACGCGTAAGCATTGTTTTACTTAGTTTGAATTTGACTACTTGTGATAGCGGTACGGCCTAGCGTGCGTTCATTGTTTACTATTTATTCATTGAGTATAAAGTATAGTACCTAGTAATGTCATCACAAACTCAGAAGCGAAAGCACAAAACATTGACAATTGAAGAAAAATGTGATATTTTAGACCGCTTAAATCGCAATGAAACTTTTAGTAGTTTAGCAAGTGAATACGGCGTAGGCCGATCTACAATTTATGACATTAAAAGAAACCACGAGAAGATCAAAAAGTTCGTGTCAACTACTGACTGCGGGCCAGGCAAGAGACAGACACTCAAGAAAGCTGAACATCCAGAAGTGGAAGAAGCTTTGTACATGTGGTTTCTTCAGGAAAGAAATAGACATGCACCAATTTCAGGACCCATGTTGGCCATGAAAGCTAAGTTTTTTTATAAGGAAATAACAAAAAAGATGATTTTGTGGCCAACAAAGGATGGCTAGAACGTTTTAAAAGTCGTCATGGCATACGTTTAATGACTATTACATGAGAGATTGATTTACCTGTACACTATGAAGGACAAAAAAGTGCATTAATGACAAAAGACCTTTTCAAAAAGTGGTTTGATGAATGCTTCGTACCTGAAGTTAGAAAATGGTTAAAAGATCATAATTTTCCTCAAAAAGCGTTGTTGCTTCTTGATAACGCTCCCGGTCATCCGTCTGAAGAAGAACTAACAACTGAGGATAAATGCATCACTGCGATGTTTCTTCCGCCAAATTGCACTGATTCAACCAATGGACCAGAATATCATTCAGTTTGTCAAGCAAGACAATAAGAAAAACCTAATTCTGAGAGCCGTATCAAAAGACCAACCAATAGAAAAAACGTTAAAAGAATTTAATATGAAAGACTTGGTTTTTGCTCTTTGTCAGTCGTGGAATGCGTTACCATCATCAACTATTAAATCGTCTTGGAAAAAGTTATCGCTAGATATAGTCACCACTCTTAGCAACGTTCCACAAATCAGTGTAACTTCGGAAGTTATAGAACAAGTCGCTACTGAAACACAGATAAGTCCGGAAGATTTGGAAATCTGGTGCCGTGGAATGGATAAAGAGGAATATGTTTTTCATGAAAAGTCTGACGAAGAGATTATAAAAGAGGTTTATAATTATACAACAAACAATCAGGAAAATAACGACGACGTGATTGCAACTGCTCCACAAGTCACAGCACAAGACGCAATTAACGCCCTTAAGCTAGGTTTACAATAGGCTGAAGAGAATGGTACATCCTACAACAAACTTTTACTTTTGAGAAGACTGAGGGACAAAGCTCTGATCTCGCGTTATAACAACCTTAAACAAAAAAAAAATTGATGAATATTTCCAAGCTTCATAATTTCAGAAATTCATTAATGATTTTGATGAATAATTCTTGATAATTCGACATACATAAACTATGTATGATTTGTACTTCAAAGTACATACATATACATAACATATATAATCTTACCATTGGATATGTAATTTGTCGGATTACAAGGTACTATTTTGTAAAAAATTCCGGACTATAGGGGGTCTTAGGCAGTGCTCCGACACTGCCCTGCATAATGTCTGTCGGATTACCGGAGGTCCACTGTATACGGAAGATATGGTTGTTGCCCTGATACTGTGTTCCAAAAGGGTAGAGTGTAAATTATTATATAGAGTATTCTTAAATTAAGTAAAAAGTTTTATTTATTTGGCCACTGTAGATAAACTGAATCAATGACTATATAAAAAATTAACCTAAAACTGAAAGGCAATAGATTTCTATACAATTTGATGGAAAGCTTTTTCAATTTGTACGGGAACTAGAAAAGTTATGAAAGGAAGACGGAAAGTTGGTAGTAAAATCTCCATTTGTCTCTAAAAGTACAACCACTGTACATATTGGCGCGAATAAAAAAAATTATAGAGAAAATGCGGATCGTGGTGATGGAAATTATTGCGGTCTGATTAGCAACTGGAGTCACACCACAAAGTGACTCAAAGTAGGGGTACTGAGACATCATTTTGATTTACCCTGTACAAGTCAAACCGTAGCTACAATCAGGAAATCAGATAAGCAAATTTAAACCGATGAGCGTACCTACCGCCTGCTGAAAAAATCAACAAAATCACGTTAAAAATAAAAATGTTATGATTATGAGGTTCCAAATCTGACCAATAACCGTCGGTTGCGTTTATTTTGAACCTGAGTCTAGGTATACATGATATGATAGATCTTTAGTGGATATTGACTCCCGTATCATTGAAGAATTACAGTTAGTTGATCGTTTGATAGCAACACGACTGGTAGCTTCGTTTACTGATTCGCTAGCGGCCAGTGATCTACTTTATTTTCTCAAATTCATTACAACTAGAAGTATGTCATTTTAACTGTGAACTGAAAACATTACTGAATATACAACAGGCTTTGCTTTGTATCGTATTTCTGAGAATAAATACCAGCGATCCTATTGAAAATTCATGATATCTTTCAAGATCGATCCTCATTGCATAATAAGTGGACCAGTTAACATGTTCAACCTAACCAACTGAATGGATCAATGGGTTATGGTCCGAATTCAAATTGCACGCATTCATTATTTTTCTTCACACCTATCTTTAATGGAACTGAAATGGAAACTATTCGGACTAGCACGTACGATAATTAAAAGAACAAACACATTGCAACGTTATTGATACTTCAGTATATTTGAACCATAAATTCGTGCTACTCTTCATTCGTATATAAAAATCAAAAACACAATTTACGCTGTACGTTAATGAAGATAAAAGCTGGAGATCGTTCTCCTTCCTATGTTTCTGCTCTCAAATGAGCCTGCTCTTTCTCATCGCAACTTAAGAATAACCTTCAAAAATCAGATTAACACTATTTTGGCTTCTTTTAGGCAAACATCACGCCTTTTTCCTATAATTCTATTAATTAGGGATTTTGAACAGTGGGGGATAGCAGAAGGAGGGCATCAAAAAATATTATCCTTCCTTGACAGTGGCCTTGACCAGGACCTTCAAAGTCATTCCAAGGTCAAGCGAATATTTTCAAATAGAACTTCCTCTTTTTTACACCGGAATTGGCCAGTTCAGGGTCGAGACATCGAGACATTGAAAACAATTTGCTCTAGCAAAAATGTTCGACAGCACAGTTGTGACCCTTTGTGGGGGGAGAAAGCAGAGGTGACCTTGACTATGACTTTGAACATCATCTTCAACATCAAGTCAAAATTTTAGACGTTTAAATTTCTTGCTTTCTGCAATTTTGACATAAAAATCTAGGGGTTGCCTTACAAATAACACTCAATAAGATTGACATGACCTTGGCTTTGAGGTCAAGGTCACATTCGAACGTAACATTTCCCCTGTTTTCCAATTCCAGATTTGAGTTACTCTCACAACTGTGCTGTCAAACAGTACTGCTAAAGCAATGGTTAAGATTCCGTATGTAGAATTTCCTCCTCTTTCCAAGTCCGGTGTAGGAAAGGGGAGATTCCATTTGAAAATATTCACTTGGTCATCAAGATTTTGCCCCCTCGAAAGCATATAATTTTGTTTTTTACTTTTTTTAAGATTTATAGCTTTCGAAATATTTGGGTGGGGAGGTTAAAAATGGAACACCCTGTATACCTAACCGCCTGCATGATTCTACAATGACGATGGCCAAGCTGTGGAAACTGTCTTAACTTGACGAAAAGCCACGAGATGCAGACAGATGTTCACAGTTCACATTTTCTCATTATTATAAGTGTGAGCCGCCAGGGGCCTGATTCTAAATGCGTTTCGACCGTTGAAATTGATTTCGATGGCGCCTTGTGACGATATACTTGATTCTCTATGATAATTTTGACATCTGATTATATTGATCTTCTATATTCAAATTATCATGGCAGTGTCAAAATTATCATAGCTAGTGAAGTGTAGCGTCACAAGGCGCAACCGAAATGAATTTCAACTGTCGAAACTCATTTAGAATCAGGCCCCAGGTGTGTCTTCTTATCACAAAATCGTTCACGTTATGTTATAGATATAATCAATTCGTAGTAGTGTTTATAAAACCTTTTCAAATGTCATGCAGTATGTTACCACTGATATTACACAGTTCTGTACCCCAGAACCAGAATAGGTTAAGTCCATTTTTGTCAAAATGAGTTTAATATGTTAAGTTTATAATAATAACTTGAATTTTCATTTGCTACATGTAGCATCTATCTGTAATAATAAGGAAGTTACGACTGTTTAACTCATGTCAAGTCGCATACAATACAAAGCAAGAAAAGTATTTCAAATAAAATTATCTCAAAACTACTTATCTGGATTTAACTTGGTCTATCTCTGAGGTACAGAGTTGGTTAGCGTAGGTAATATAAAATGGCACACTGGCTTGATGATGCCCGCCTGATGAAGAGATTCGATCAAAACTTAACTCACTATCCTCAATTCACCAAATCACGCAAATTTAACAAGATGCGGACCGATAACAACATTTATTAAACCACGTAACACTGGGCCGATCCTGTCATTATACTCAGTATGATGCCCTAGCTGTAATGCCTGTTGGCTATTATTTCATTATGAATAAAAATCCTGAATCATAAGTTTCTGTCGTGGCAATGTCGGAAATCCATCAAGAACCAAGTAAAATGACTATGAATTGGGGTCATCCCAGAAGACCAGTAGGCCGCGAAAGATTAAGATGCGCTTCCCTGATATCTCTCAATGTGCGCTTGCTCTTAGGATGAAAAAGGGAATCACCATGTCCATTAAATCCTGTCGGGAACCCTCCAGGTCCTGGAAATCCTCCTGGGAACCCAGGAATCCCTTCTCCTCCTGCACCTATTCCCCCAGCTCCCGCATTAGCTGAAGCACTCGCATGAGCCGAGGAGGAAGCCTGGGCACCATTTCCTCCAACATCGCTTCCCCGGCGCATCCTAATCAGCGGTTCCAGGATGTCCCTTCTGTTACGGATGTACACCACGTCTGATTGGTGGCCTTGTCGATCGATTACATAGAAGGATTTTGGAATGTACTGCCCAGCATCTGGAACCATAAAAATGTTAAATGTTAGGTCTGAATAGGAATGGTGACTTCAACATTTAGAAGTTATGCTCGTAAAAAGCTTGATCCCAGAAATATGAAATTACTTCTCAGCAATTTTTGGCCCATTCTTCACCACCATTGAAGTTATACAGGGTGTCCCGAAAAAAGTGTGCAATATTCTACCAGCGGTTTCTAGAGCTTAAAATAGGAAGAAAAGTTTATATAAACATAGGTCGACAAACGTCCCCTAAGAGCGCTACGGTCTTTTAAAGGGACTCCCCTGAAGATGGTTTTTCCTTAATATTTCCGAAACGTGTTGAGATAAAGACATACAATTTGGTATTCTAGCCTAGTTTTTTATGCAGGATTTAAAAATATTAACAATTTTAGACAGTCTTGTTTGGAAGCGTATGTAACAGGCACGGAATCAGGTTATTTTAGCCCCAAATTTTTTGTGTGATTCTATTTTTGAAATTCAGTTTTAGAATTTGAAAATTTAGGGTTTTCTACATAAAAAAGGTATTCTTATTCGATAAATTGTGCCATTTTTGAATAAAATCAAACTAAAAAATTTGTCACATTATCGGAAATGTACTATAAATTTAAATGAATTGTTGAATAATTAGCCATGGCAACGAAAAAACTAATTTAATAATTGGTAAATATTACATAAATACATATTTCTATTGCAACATAGAACATTTAGGCAAAACCAAAATAAATAAATTTTTTCTACGAACGAAATTGAAATTTGTTTAAAAAAGAAGACATACAGTTGGATATACTTAAAACTAGCTTTACAATAAGTGTTCAAATAAATTCCCATTTTGTTGGATACAGAGTCTCGCTCGACGAACTGATGATTGCGAAGCCCGAAAAGTAGAAAACCTTTTTCTTCTTATTTCATTTGCAGCCTGATGGATTCTTTGAAGTAAATCTTCTTGAGTATTTACTTTAGTCGAGTAAACTAGGTCTTTTAATGATCCCCAAAAATAGAAACCCAATAGATTTAGGTCAGGTGAACGTGGCGGCCACGCTATAGGACCTCCTCGGCCTAACAACCTGTCTGGAAAATTGACATTCAACCAATTTCGAACATTGCGTCCAAAATGTACAGGGGCGCCATCATGTTGAAAAAACATATTTTCTTGAAACTGCTGGCGCACATCCAATGGTATTATATCAATGAGCTCATTCTGAAGAAAGTTCAGATACACCTCTGAATTAAGACGATTGCCCATAAGTTCAATGAAAATCTATGTTAGAAATTTGTAAGGCGCACAACTTTTGGATTTTCATCTGACCAGTGATGCATGTTATGGAAATTAAAAGCACCATTCCTAGTAAATATTGACTCATCCGACCATAATATTCTAGGAATAGTGTTTTCATTTGCTAATATCCACTGGCAAAACTCGATTCGTGGTAAAAAATCTGCCTCCGTTACATGCTGCACCCGTTTAAAATGATAAGGATGTAATCCTTGCATTCTTGTCATTCTTCCTATCTAAAATTATTATTTTTAGGATAGCTATCAAATAGGTATTTATAAATTTTTCTTACTATCGATCGAGGTATGTCCATAATTTCTGAAACATTTCGTATGCTTATTTGCGGATTATTTTCATATTTAAAGCAATATTCATACGATGATTTCCCAGTGGCCTTCCTGAGCCTTGCATGCGCTGAAAACTTCAATGGTTTGACAAATTCCGTTGAATATCAGTAAACATTCGATGTCCAGGTACTATGCGATTGGAAAATCTTCTTTGATATTCTCTTACGGCTGCCAATAAACTGCCATTGCAAAACCGTACACAAAATGCATGTCAGTCAGTTCTCTGTCTGTAAATCTTGGCATTTTAAATCGATTTAATAAAAATTTTGATTTTAATCTAGTAATTTTACACTGCTAACAATGTCAGCTTAACGTCAAAGTAAGTCATAACATAACAAAACAACTTTTGTTTACAGTCGTGGCTAACTATGTATAATCAACAATTCATTAAAATTCGCAGTACATTGCCTATCATGTGACAAATTCTTTAGTTTGATTTTATTGAAAAATGGCACAATTTATCGATATTCTATAAGAGTTCCTTTTTTATGTAGAAAACCCTAAATTTTCAAATTCTAAAATTGAATTTCAAAAATAGAATCACACAAACATTTTTGGGGCTAAAATAACCTGAGTCCGTCCCTGTTACATACGCTTCCAAACAAAACTGTCTAAAATTGTTAATATTTTCAAATCCAGCATAATAAACTAGGCTAGAATACCAAATTTTATGTCTTTATCTCAACACGTTTCGGAAATATTAAGGAAAAACCATCTTCAGAGGAGCCCCTTTAAAAGACCGTAGCGCCCTTGGGCGACGGTTGTCGACCTATGTTCATATAAACTTTTCTTCCTATTTTAAGCTCTAGAAACCGCTGGTAGCATATTGCACACTTTTTTCGGGACACCCTGTATAGTTGTCACCACCGTTTTTGGCGGGTCAAAGTCTATCAGTATCCCTTTATACATATATCTCCATCTCCCTCATACATACACATACAACCTACCCCTGTGTGTGAACGTTTGTTCGGTAAGCTCAAAGACATACGTTTTTTAGCTGTCTGTCTCCGTCTCGAAAACTTTGTCGCTACGTATGAGTGCCCTTCAATCATGTTTGTTAGAGTGACAACTTACTTGACATCGGCGAGCAATTCGAGTTGTCCTGTTATCAATCTTCAATATATAATTGTACAATGCCCGGAAATACGATCAACGGAGAAGGCCGACAGCTCGTGCTAAATTTATTAGAGTCTTTCCAAGAAGAGAATGAAAACAGCGGTCCCCTGTTACCCACTTCATGCGTACTGGAGAGAGTAGCAGATGCTTTGAAGATTAGTATGCGCAGTGTTACGTCCATGGTACGGAGACTCGATCTGTTTACTTATTTCATATGGCGTTGATGACGTAACCGACAGGAACGGTGACTACAACTATACACAAAAAGTATAAAACTCGTTTTCGTTATCGTTTTCATTTATAGAGAGGCCAACAATTACGTTTTTTTGACAACTATTCCACCTCAACTGGATCGATTCTAAAAACCGTAAGGCCTTTCCATCCCTGTTATAGTAGGAACCTACTACCAAGTTTAGATAAAAATCCAAGTAGCCGTTTGTGACTTTGTGATCAAGAAGCTTGGGATAACCGGAGAGACAGACGGTTAGTCACCGCAGACGATAAACAGACCGAGTAAGATGAACAGTTTTTCATGATTTATATGTCATGATATATCAAAAAAATGGCCTCAAGTAGGTTGGCTCTACACTTCTGATTACGTCGTCTTAACCCGGTCAGGCGTAGAAGCATACCAGAATAACCAAGGCCGGCAGCGTGCCGCCTTTAGTAGCTGCCACAGCCGGTAAGTGCGCGATCCGTATCTCTAAATTTTTTTTCAAAAAGGATCAGGATCTTCTAAAACAAGTAAATGATGTTTGAGTGATTTTCGTTCTCTTTCTTTTTTGGCCTTTTTCTCTGCCGGCACTGGACGATTTTCAAAAACTACAAAGCTTTTGCATCTTTGGCACAGTAGTAACAATGTGCGAAAGTTTCATTGATATCCGCGGTATTTCTCAAGATATAGGCAGTTATAAGATTAGTAGACATACCGATAGGCTGACAGACAGGCAGTCTGACGGAATTCAGTGAAGCATGTCTTGATGTACATGTCATATAATATGTCTTATTTTTAATACTTTCCCGTCAGTGGGAAGTAAAGTATACCAAATAAGTAATACTCAAAAATATTGACTCATCATTACATTTGTATTTCCAATTACGTAAAAAAAAAACTAAACTGTGCCTTACAATGGCCAGTAACGTTCAAAAATCTTTTCAGAACTTCCTAATTCCCAATTCCAATATTTTTTTTCGATCTCTATTTTCTGAAATCGTAACGACCCAACTTTTTATTTGCAACATGTTTTTTTTTTTGGAAATGACCACATACCAAGCCACTGACTGTTTTACTTGTTTAGGCAACACCCTATATATTCGTTGAAGTTGGAAGCCGCTAATGTTGGTCAAACATGCATTATATCAAATATTTACGTCTGTAGAGTATAACCTGTTATTAAACAGACAAGACAAAAGCATATTCTTGTAATGAATGATTCATAGTTTTGTCTGATGGACATCACGCGGAGTCATAATTACTAAGTAAACAAAATTAAAAGCTTCTCCGATTTTAAAATAAATTGCGGACAATTAGTGCAATTTACATAAAGGTTATACAAGATACAATACAATGAAAAGTTTCCATGTAGGAATAGAAGTATAGTGTGATTTCAATAATTGTTAGTTTGCACTTATCAAGCTGTAAGATAAATCTAAATTGTAGTCGCATCTATTCATACAAAGTTTAAAAAAAAACGCACTCGCCAAAGGTCAAATTTCGCATCAGCTTAAACTTTTAAACAGCGCTCAAATTGGTGCATTTGCAAACAAATGCAAATGTTTCTTCAATGTTTGGCAACTTTCTCCTTAAAAATAGTTCATATTATGGCTCAAATGATCAGATAAAAAACAGTTAAAGGAAACTTTCAATTTTTAACTAGTGATGAAGTTCACCCTAACAAAATAGCAACCTACTTTTTCACTAAAGTTATCTGATCAATGCTATAGGTCTTATCGTAAAATTAGGATTAAATTTTCCTGACTTCTTAATTATACTTGTTTGCATCTCGTAGTATGGATATCATCGAATATGAATTGCACAATTTACCTGTTTTTCGAAAAGCCACAGAATTACATGTGAAATTAACCATTTATGTTCTAGGATATTATTAATTTGTGATTTGCGAAGACAAATCAAATGAGATTTCGCGACTTTTCATTAATTGTGTTTTTAACTGGTTTCTTGTTGTCTTGCCATTTATATTTTTCATGGAAATATTATGGGTATTGCCACATCCGTGCCAATACGGTGAGATTCAAATTTGGCTGA